GAATGGGGAGAAAAAGAAAGAAAAGGAGAAGACATAACCAGGGAAAGAACAATGGAAAAAAGCAGAAGGGGGGAGGAGGAAGCAGATTGTTATATTATTAAAGCTTGATGTTCAAGGTTGTAGATGCAACATCCAGTACTTGTCTTACACATCTTCCAGACTGGCCATGTCGACAGTGCGAAACAGCTTCGCAGCATGTAACAGGAAGCTGGACTGCAGCCATGGCGAAGATGAATCTGCTGCCCAGTGTGGTGAGGTGGACAAATAGGCACCAGCAACTAATCACTATAATTTAGAATTATAATTAAAGCATTACCATGCATGAGTGATTTCTATTAGAAGTCATGCCTTTGTTTAATATAGGCCATATGCCTAGCCATCCCCCTCAAAACTTGATATTCAAGTATCCCAACCAGAAGACTTGGACATATGTGGACAAGGTGTGTGACACGAAACAATGATTGTTGAGATGAATCAGGTAAAAATGAAAATATGTAATTGATATTCTAAGGGGTTTAATTACATAAGTCAGCCCATACTTAGAAACTGTCCTAAGGATATTTACATTCACAATTAAGCAGTTCCATCATTTCCAGTAGCTTACATACGAGTTCTCCGGCTGAAAAAGCAAATAAAGCCAGATTTACAAAGATTAAACAAAGGAAATACTAATCTTGATGGACAACTCTTGTCTGCTATGGAATTCCTTTTGGATTTCTTTGGAAATTTTGGTAAAGATCAAAGAAGAGTCTGTTGAATGCTTTAGCTCTCAGAGATTTTTTTAATATATGTAACCTTTGGTACTTCCTTATACCTCCTACTCTCCTTTTCTGCTTTCCCAATGGTTTCACTGACTCTGCACCCTTGATTGCCTTGCAATTTGGCAAGGCTGGGTTATTAAGACCATGGTAGTTCCAATACCTCATGGCCTTAATCAGTATATAAAAAAGGTATCAGAATATAGTACACTATAGATCTTGTCTTTTGCCTGGTCACCATGGAAGGCAGAAAAAGAAATGCTGCTGAGGAGTTGCATGTTAATCTAACAAGGTGTTGGCAACAAAAAGCTAAAAGTATAAACATATCCTTTTGTTCTTGCTAGTTGCCAATTAGCAAATACCGATTCTCTTCCTGGCTTACTGAACATGTAAACTCACATGGACCCTTCCTTTTTATGTAGCATGTCAGTGTATCAGGCCGATGGAGAGAGATAGTACTCTTCTTTGCTTTCAAAGTATAAATTCTTTCACCTAAATGTATAGAATCTTTAATTTTCCCCTTGGACAGTTTTCTCTAATATTGTTAAGATTCAAAGGGCCATTTCATTTCCAATAGCATATTTTCCAGTCCACCTTGATATTTTAACAGTTGTGCTTTTAAAAATAAATAAAATTGTCTAGTGTTCACTGCCAAAGTGCTTAGGAGATGTGATACTGTTTTCTTTGCTGACTGTGCCTGCATTCCCAGAACTCGCTGCAAAAATGGCATTTAAGACTGTGCTGATTGGAGTGATGAAAATTTATGTGAATAGAAGGCTTTTCTAATTATTATCTTGGAAAAGCTAAAAACTGCTTAGTTCCCTTAAAACTCCTCCCTACCTTCCCCCAACCCCCCCACAAAAAAGATTGACATATTTATTTGGGGGGGGAGGGAGGAGGTAATTACTAAAGAATCCAATGTTATGTAATGGAGAAAAACAACTAGCAGAAATCATGTCCAAACGTTAGTGACCTTGAACCCATTTCTAAACTTGTTTCCAAAATTTAGAATGTAGCTTTCTGCTCTGTGCACACATGGTTATTATGCAGCTGTCACAAGTGTACTCTAGTTCGATTCTTTAAAAAAAAAAAAAAATAGAGGGTATAAATCCTGAATTCTCAGAAAAATTGTCTCTTTATTACTGTATCCCTGGTTCAGATCCAGTTGAAAGCTACTTTGGCCCAGGGTTAGTCTTAATATCGGACCACAGCCAGCAAGTAGTCACAACAGCCAAAAGTTCAACCAGATCAGAATCATCTGCTTCTCTAGCCTGCCTGGGCCTGAATTCTTTCCAACAGGTCCTGAGGGTTAAGAGCAGATCTGGGTTAGAAGCTCATTCTACCACTTAAGGGGCTGTGTGACCTCACAGGAGCAATTTCACTTCTTAAAGATGGTTTCCTTGTCTGTACAAGGTGGCTCTTTTCAAGGGATTGTTATGCTGGGCGATGAGATAAAATGCAAGTGATAGTGTTTAACAGATAGTTATAGCAATTGTGGGCAAAGGAAATTTGTTAAGAATAGGATAGATTCGCTTGAACAGGTAGCTCATCTGGTTAGAGAGCACCAGCCTTATACACCAAAGTTGCAGATTTGATCCCGTCAGGGCACATACCAGAATCAACCAAGGAATGCATAAATAAATGAAACAATAAATGGATGTTTCTCAAATCAATTCTTGAAGAGAGAATACAGGAGATTGTGCTGTTAAAAACAACTGCTGTCCTGCTCTGGGGAGGGATTATACTTCCCCAATCCTTTTGGCCATCAGACTTGAATATGTGCGTGACTTGCTCTGGCTGATGAAATGTGGTTGTTAGTGATGTGCATCTCTTCCCAACTTAAGTCTGAAGAGCCAGCTATTTCTTTTCTTTGTCCTGATACTGCCAATGTTCAAGTTAGTGGCTCCTCCTGGGGTGGTTTCGATGAGGGTGTGGGGGAGGGGGAGGAGTGGAGCCCAGCCAGACACACCATTAACATCAAGTGTGACAAACCTTTGTAACAACTAAAATTTTTAGTCATTTGTAACTGTAACATAACCCTATCTCAATATTGAAAACGTTACAAGAAACTCTTTATTAATCCAAAGCCATGACTAACATAAACCAGATTATTTAAGTAGATAAAAGAAATATCATTAGAGGATGTTGGAACAAAGTCTGAATAGGCAAAACAGGATTAACCTTAGCCAGCATCTGCCACAGGAAGCAAGTTGCCCAGGAATAGGCCTAGCTGGAAACCCTTTTTAATTTTGTCCCTTACCTATAGACTCAGGGTAAACTGGATCTTCAAATAGTGGCATTCTTCACATGCTTATCAGCCTGTCAGCCACTCCAATCTCTTAAAATGAGTTAAAACAATCTCAATTTTGCTCCTCAAAGCACAGCCAGTGGACCTACAGCATCAGCATCGCCTGGAAGCTTATCAGAAATGCAAATCTTCAGGCACCACTCCAGACCATCCCAATCCTCTGCCCTCCTTTACCCACTCCACATGCTTTGGTCAGTTATAAGATTTGTAGCAGTTTTAAGCAGCAGCACACAGCCCTAGCTGGTTTGGTTGTGGATAAGAGCGTCACCCTGTGGTCCTGGGTTTGATTCCAGTCAAGAGTGGGTTGCACAGGAGGCAGCCGATCAATGATTCTCATTATTGATGCTTCTCTCCCCCCCTCTCTCTCTGAAATAAAAACAAAACAAAAAAAAAACAGCACATGACCTACCACATTCTCACTCTACCAGAAAGCTGACTGTCCCAGAGGTTGCCCCATTAGCCTAGGATCTCAAGTGAACTTATAGCAACATAAGAGTCCAACATAACCTGTAATACTCTGGATATGTGTAATTTTGTAATTATTGACTTTGGAATTTTTGTTACTATAGCAGTGTACTTTGATATGCAGACTTTGAAGAAAATATCATGTTAACATATGCAAATACTGTTCACACATTTCATTTTTTATAGTTAATAATTGACTTTTGATATAGCTATACAGTACCTTCAAAAGGTACTTGTAAGTTAAGAAAATTTAAAATGAATTCTTATTGTGTAGAAACTAAGACAATTTTCAGTTGGCATCATTGCAGGATGTACGTAATTGTTTTAATTACTATTAAATTGCTTCATTACAATCACTAATATAGGTTTTTAAAAGTAGTTCTATTATTGAGGGGCCTTTCTGGTGTGCAATTGTTCAGTATTCTAGTTATGATGGCAATTACACGTTACAACTGCACACACAGGTCAATTTTTCGGTTATGTTAATTTAAAATAGAAAAAAGGAGCCCTTCTCATTTTGAGTTATGACTTAAGGAAAAAGGGTGACATCCCTACTACCTTTTTTCCAGTTATCTTAGAGAATAGCCTACACAGAAGGGATTAACTACTTTCACTTTTTTAAGTAACTTTTGGTTACATCTCTCAAATGAAGCAACTTCATAGAATAAGGATTAGAGAAAATTAAGTGTGAAAGTACATATAAGGCCCTAGCTGGTTTGGTTCAGTAGATAGAACATCAGCCTGTGGACTAAAGGGTCCTGGGTTCAATTCTAGTCAAGGGCACATGCCCAGGTTGCTGGGTTGGCCCCTAGCAGGGAGCATGCAGGAGGCAGCTTATCAATGATTCTCTCTCATCACTAATGTTTCTTTCTCTCTGAAATCAATAAAAATCTTTAAAAAAGAAAAGTACATATAAGGCATTCAGTATATAGACATTAAGAGAAAAAAAAGAATCTTGCTCTACCACGAAGGAGTATTCTATTCTCATCTTACAATTATACCCATCATATAAACCATGGAAGCCCTGAGGACTACTGGAGGGAAGTTTTCAAACATGAAACTTTATATCACCTTTGTTACATGATTCTACCATGTTAAATCTTTAATAATATTTCATCAAAGATTATGTCATATTACATGCCATGATTAGCTTTCTACAAACAACTTTTGCTTTCTGTGTACAAATCAGTATCAATGAAATAAAAAATAAAACTATACTAGGCAAAGATCTTTATTAACCTGTTTCAAACTTTATTCCCAAGCTTCTTCAGCTTAATTAGCTGCAAAAAATGATTTATGTATAAGCAAAAACTGAAAAGAGCTGCAATGTCCAGGGGCATTGGGCTAAAAAATATTAGAGATCTAGATTTTATCAGATCCATAAACAAAATTTGAAAAAGCAGTCATAATATAAAATAGCAGCTCCCAGAAACTTCTTCAAGTTTATTTTCTTCAGAAGTTGACTCAATTCAGTTTGCTTCATTCTTGGAAGCTTCATCAAAATTCTCCACAAGATCTAGAAAAAAATTAAAAAGGCAGAAACTCAGAAAAAGCCAAATCTACAAATATAGATCTTAAGAGGAAATAAGGAAATGTTCTCAAAATATATATTACAGTTAAATCAGTATATAAATTTGAAAGTTTTTATTTCCAATAAAACCACTACTCATTTGGCACATTTTGAAGTATATGTGTTGGCACATAATTAAAACAAGGGAAAGTCATTAATTTGCCCACGCTGTGCTTAAATATGTATATACTCTCCCTATTCTCACTCTAAGAATTAAACTTAAGCAATATAACACATTACTCAGTTTGGGGGCAGAACTAAAGAGTACTGTGACACACAATTCTAAAATCTTCCTGGATTCCTGAGGACACCTGTCCGTGCAAAGTGGAATTATTTATGATCTAGTGATTCTACTCCCAATAAATATTTGTTTTACCACACAAAAATATATCCAGTAACAGCTGAGATAGAAAAAATGCCTCATGGTTGCCAAAGGAGATTTTCTGCTGATTTTAGAATGGTTATATCCCAAGATATCTGAATAACTTCTCTGTGCCTTCTTATAAATTTATGGATCTCACAGTAGGAAACAAGAGGGTCTATAAGTAGATATAGACCATTTGTGGTCTATAAGTAGTTATTACATTTAGGTAACAATATGCATATTTTTTATTCAATACTTATGGTTATATACCTCCAACTTCTTGGAATCCTAAATAGAAAAACACCAAATCTACAAACATAGCTCCCAGTGAAATAACAGTACACTTTTTTTTTTCTCATTCTGAGTAAGGTTCATGTCTCCCTTACCCTCTCTTTATTCTCCCTTGCTAAGATTCACCAGTTTAACCACAAGTGAAGGTTCCTACCTGGAACTTCATCATCATCATCTTCTCCAGTAGCAAGTGGCGCTTTTCCATCCACAGCTGTGAAAGGAAAAATGTAAACATTATTCACACATTTGTTTGTCTTCAATAAACATTAACCAAAAGAAGCACAGGTGAAAGGTTTATATTACATTTGGGATCTCATCTATATACTAGCAATAACATAATATTGTATATGTAAAAATGAGCTACAACACTAGCAATAGCCAACAATCCAAATTCTATACCTAGGTTTTCAATTTGGCCCATCACAAATACTGAGAATGAGAATAATGGGGAGCCCCCAGAGTACAAGTAAACCCATGTACCAAATATGGTAAGCTTTACTTGGGGAGGCGAATTAAGAGGCTATTTTCTCAAATACTCTGTTGTGTTGTACATGGCATATAAGGGAGATGCTCAACAAACCTTTACTGAAGTGAAAACAAAATGATCAAAAAAATTTAAGCTTCTTTGAGTGGTAAGCATCCAGCTTCCTTTTATTAAACAGAAAGTGAACGACACTTGAGAGTTGGGACCTCACAGTACTGGCCCTAGGATGTTCAGCGGACTGCTTCAAACACCTATTTCAGCTCTGAAAGCCTAAGACGACTTTCTACAAACTCTTATGCCTTGCCTTAGCTGGTTTGGCTCAGTCGATAGTGTCGGCCTGTGGACTGAAGGATTCTGGATTCAATTCTGATCAACGGGCAAATGCCTGGGTTGTGGGCTCAATCCCCAGTAGGGGGCATGCAGGAAGCAACCAATTGATGATTCTCTCTCATCACTGATGTTTCTCTCCCTCTTCATTTCTCTCTGAAATCAATAAAAATATATTAAAACAAACTAACAAACAAAACTCTTATGCCTTTCCAGGTGACAAAACTACATAAAGTGAAGCAGAATGAGTGAATGCCTAGGAAAACATGGATGACTAAAAGACCATGCAATAAGCCTGACTTGCTTCTACATTCCTATTCTTCAAAATTTTAGTCAGAGAGCTTCATCATAAAGTATCCATACCCCTGAGGTACAATTATTCAACTACATGATTTTCTGCCCTGAACAAAATCCTTATCATACTATAATTAAAAACACGAGAATACTGGCAAGCAAATTCTTAAAAAGATTATTGGTAATATCAGTTGTATAAATACAACTGAAGAATTCTGATAATTTAAAATATATATTTAATTAATCTTAAACTGCCAGTTATCAAAAGAGCACCAAATTAACATTTCCATATTTCCAGCTAATAAAGGGTAACATTTTAAAGTCTCTTATCCAACCCAAGAAAGCTAGTAGGAAACAAGCATAATCACAGCATACTAAATTATTGCATATACTATGAGTACTTGCTTGAAATCAGTGTAAAAATTGATTATTTTTGGAGAAAAGGTAGCATTTCCAAATTTAAAGATATTCACATTCACTTTCCACCTGACATTTTAGAAATCTATTGGATAAATTAATAACCTGTGCAAAACTCACATTGTTTGGGCAGAGCTTCAGCCAGTCTCCTTAAACTAGTCAGACTGTCTGCACCAAGCTGGTTTAAGATGCTGGGTAGCATTTCTGTCAGTTGCTTTGTCTCAGCATGGCCGGTAATGGTGAAAGTATTCGCTGCCAGAGATGCCTGAACTTTAGGGTTGTTAAAGTGGATCACTGTTCCTTGGTTTGTAAACATATTTACCTACAAAGAAAAAGAAAATATTTTTAATTAGCAGTGCCCACCAAATATATGAACATTAAAAACTTTTTTTCAGATAAACCTTGTTTTTCTAAGGAAATAGAACTTGACTCTTACCTCTTCAATACCAGAGATATTGTTTACCCCCAACTTCTTTAAGGAGAACTGAAGCTTTTTATCATCTGCTGTAGCTGTTCTGTGAACCACCTTCTTCTTTCTACGAGCAGTTCCCTAAAGTGGAGATAAAGGAAAGAACACAGCACACATTTATACTGTAACAGACATTTTCAAATGGAAAGGTTCAAATCCCTTTATGAACTTTGGATATGTTTAAGAAAACTACCATAACCACAAACTTTTAAGCAGCGAGAAGGCAGGTGAAAGCAATGAGAGAAGTCAAAAGAGAAAAAGGAGTTGTCCACAAATCCTTAATAATTTCTAAAATTCTAATCTTGTCAGATATAAAAGATCTTTTCAAAGTCCCACTTTTTACATTAACTGCTCCAAAGTGATCAAAGAGGTGGCATGTGTCAACCTAAATTACTAACCTTTTGTTTTTACGTTAAAGAAAAAGTAACATCTATTGATATTCATAGGCAAGACAGTGTATGACACAAATGTCTGTACAAACTTCCATAGTAAGCAAAAGTAAAATCTGCATCTGCATGGCTCCCTCTCACTCAAGATCCTCGCTCTTATGTCACCGTATTCAGAGTGGCCTTTCCCAACAACTCACACTCACCATTTCCCATCTATCCCAGTTTATTTCTCTTTAAACACTTATTACTAATAAAGATAAGTGTATTTTATTGTCTGTCTCCCCTTACTAGAATGTAAACTCCTTGAAGACTTCTATTTACTGCTATAAAACTCAATATCTATAACAATATCGATAACCTGGCTCACTGAAGGTAGGGAGTAACTTGATGAGTCAATGAATATAGGCTTTAGGAAAATGTGTGGTCTCTTATACATGCCAAGTATCCAATCTCCCCTTTCTCTAAAATATCCTATAAACTTCCCAAACCAGGCAAATGTGACCATCCATATTCTGCTTATAAACTATTTAATAACACTCATAGATTCCCATATAGGCTAAGACAGTGGTTGGCAAACTCAGTCAACAGAGCCAAATATCAACAGTACAATGATTAAAATTTCTTTTGAGAGCCAATTTTTAAAAACCTCAAAATTCTTCTAATGCCACTTCTTCAAAATAGACTCACCCAGGCTGTGGTATTTTGTGGAAGAGCCACACTCAAGGGGCCAAAGAGCTGCATGTGTCTCACAAGTCACAGTTTGCCGACCACGGGGCTAAGACATATTTACATTGTACACAAGGCTCTTCATGGAAGGACTACCACCACCCACCTACCTCACTGTCCCGAGCATCCATACCAATTCTGATCCTTTAAAATCCTGCATAAGCCATCATCTCTTCCATGTTTTCCCTAAACTATACAATTAACATATCCTCACCCAGCCAAACCACTCCCATCTATCTTTACAATGCTTCTCTTGCACCATGCATGTAAAAAAATATTTTTAAAAAATGTCTATCTCCCATACTAGCCTTAAAGCCCCCTATATACTTTACTTAAATTTTATATTCTCAGAATCCAGCATAGTAAAGGCTTAAATAAATCATAGTGTTAACTGAAGAAGATATCAATAATTACATGGAATACTGGTGACCAACGCCCTCAAAAAACCTTTAAAATAACAATTACTTTGAAAAGTGTTCATGTAGAAACCTGGTTCCCAGAGAACCCTCTCTAAAAGACATTCTAAGAAACTACTATAAGATTCTAAAAACAAAACCAGCACAATTGTTTTCATACACTTTACATAAATAGGATTTACTTTTCACTGAAATAACTAAGTTATTATCAATGTTCTGATCAGATACTGTAACACGTACCTAGAAGTATCTAACACTTGCAATTTTCTCTAAGGCAAAACTCACTCACCTGATTTCACATCCCGTAATAAGCAGGTTTCTTAAAAGGAAGAAAATGTTTCCATATTACAGTGACAGAAATACTTCCTCTATTAACTACCCTGTTTCCCCTAAAATAAGACAGTGTCTTATATTAATTTTTTCTCCCAAAGTTGTGTTAGGTCTTATTTTCAGGAGATGTCTTATATTTCCATGCGCTAGATCATATTTTTGGGGAAACACGGTAGTTAACAAGTAAAGCTTAATCCTACACCAGCTTTAAGAATCCTAGATAACCTTTACCTAGAATGATTTCTCTCACAAGCACATTAACTCAGGTTAAAAACACCTTAAGAGCATCCAAACACTGACCCACAAAGATTATAATGAGTTTTTTCTGTCACACCTAGCTTACAACCATTGCTAAAAAGAACAAGAAATACCTATTGTTATTAACAGGTAGGTGTGGGATCTTGAATACTACTAGCTAGGAGGGATGAGGGGGGATGAAGATACACACACTGCTGGCAAAGTCCAGTAATTAATAGATGTACATCTTACTATTTAAAGTCTAAGTGCAAGTTTGGCTATTCACAGTAGGCTCTATTTGAAGGTAAATAGGTAAGTTTGAAGGGAAAAAAAAAACTAATAGTTAATAAATCTGTAGTACAGAAGTTTTCACCATACAAGTGAATACAAGTTTTACCAAGTGAAGCCATGCTCTGTTCCAACAGGCTATACCACACCTTGTTAAATACTAGGAATGTGCCAACAATGCAGAATAGAACCAGGTAGACCTCAGTCTAGTGTGGACTTCTGATTTATGTAAATTACTTAGAGAACAATCTAAACACTTACAAAGTTCAGAAAGGAATCCCCTCGGACTCATTGTCCACCAGGAAAAACCAATGAACCAAAAACGGATCATTAAAAAACCCACCAAACACTCTCATTCCCTCAGTTTTAGCGACATCGCAAAGTAAAAACACAAAGACACCCACTTTAGGTAATATTTTCGAATCCATAGTCCACAGATCTTAAAACTCCAAAATGTACTTACGAGAAAGAAAGATCTTCAAACGCCCTAGAAATATACAACGACTGCAACCACGGAGTGCATTAGCCAAGGAGGCATTACAAAAAAAGGCCTTAATTTACAAAAAAAAAAAAAAAAAAAAGAAACCAACTCACTAGTAAGTCCACCGTATATAACCGAAGCCAAAACAAGCATGAGGTGTAATGGCCACAATGATACGCAACTGAAATGACACATCTTCTTACTAAGTACATCAGGAAACACTTTTATTCCACTAAGAACACTGTAACACTGGAGAGCGTGTTTACACACACACACACACACACACACACACACACACACAATGTTTGCAGTCTAAGTCGTTTTTCATCTCGACTCACTTGCATTTTTCCCCTTGGCGTATACATCCTGCAGGATTCACGGGTACATTACACTGTAAATCACATTTAACCCGCCGCTCCCCCCCCCCCCCAAGTTTGCTAGTCCCGTGCAATGCCCTCTACAGACAAAGTCACACGCCATCGACATTAGGAATGCAAAAGGGAAAAAAAAAACACACAAAAAACCCCTAAACCTTACACACACGCTTACACACACAAAACTATGAAAACTTACTTTCCCACCAATGCGCACTTGTGCCTGCAGTTTGGCGAGTTTCTCTTGGTTCATAATAGTTTCTTTCATCTAGAAAAACAGGAAACCCTCAGCGAGGAGAGGTCTGGTTCGCTCCAGCATTCCACGCTCGTTAATCCCCGACACCCCGGCCCGAGGCCTGGATCCCAAACCCACCCCGCAGGGCTCCCCATTTCAGTGTCCAGAGGGCCGAAAGGGCACCCGCCCGCCTCCTCCCCCACCCCCAGCCCCTCCACGGCCTCCCTTTTTACAGGGAAATCGGGTCTAAACCACGCCCGGCCAGCACCCCCCCACCCCGGCCCTGGCCCGGCCTCGGCCTCGGCCTAGCCAGGGCCTGCCCGACCGGCCACTCTCCGAAAGCCTCGCGGTACCTGAGGCTCCTGTCCTCTGGTCCCGCCGCGAGGTGGAGGAAGAGACGGCGTCGCCTCGCCCCCAGGGCAGCCGCCCCTGGCTCGACCTCGACCCCGAGAGTCAGCCTGAGCGGGTGCGCCTGTCCGTCGCATCGCCTTCCTCTCCTCAGCCCTGTCCCTCCCTGTCTCGCTCCTTCCGGGCACTTCCCGCCCCCGATCCCGTCCTCCTCCCACGCCGGCGTCCACAGCCTTTCTGTACCTTGTTGGAGAGGAAACGGGGCCGCGCGGGGGACTAGGGCTGACGCTCAGGGGGTCTAGGGCAGACCAGCTGAGAATAAGCGCGCACACGCGGGGACGCAAGATGGCAGCTAGAGGGAGGCCGGAAGTGACGCAAGGCCACTTCCTTGAAAAGCCAGGAAACGGACTTGGCCCGAGCTCGGGGCTGTGCTGCGCACGCGCGGCCCCAGGACGCGGGGTTTTGTGACTCTCGCGCGCGTGGACGTTCTTTCCTTCGCGGCCGGCGCTGCCCGGGCGGCGGCCACGCCAAAGGCGGGGCGGGAGGCGCCGCCAGGAGGCGCCGCCAGGAGGCCCGGGGAAAGCGCGCAGGGGGTCAGAGAGGACAGTTTCTTCTTCAGTTAGCGTGGAGTAAGTCGGCCGGTCTCCCTCCGAGTGCTGATCTCAGGTTTGCGGAAACGCTTGGGGCGCCCAGCGTTTTGCTCTGGGGTCGCTGGGTGACCCCGAAAGTTTTAGAAATTACCCACCGGCCCGAATGAGCATTCTTCACCAAAATATTTTGTTAGAAACAATGAAGCTGCCCTGACCGGTTTGGCTCGGTGGATAGAGCGTCAGCCTGTGGACTGAAAGGTCCCAGGTTCCATTCCGGTCAAGGGCAGGTACCGTGGTTGCGGGCACATCCCCCGTAGGGGGCGTGCAGGAGGCAGCTGATCGATGTTTCTCTCTCATCGGTGTTTCTAGCTCTCTATCCTTCTCCCTTCCTCTCAGTAAAAAGTCAATAAAATATATGAAAATTTTTTCTTTAAAAAAATTTAAAAAAAATTTTTTTTAAATGAAGCTAATTTTGCTTTCTAAGGCTAGGTGGTTTGATCTGTTGCAAGATCAGGGTCCGAAAAATCTGAGAAGCCCGTTCAGAAAGTAATTCAGTCGGGCTTGGGATGGGACCGGTTAATGTGCATTTCTGCCCCATATCAGGTGGCTAATCGCCTTAGACCCGGGTTGGCATGGACTTGATAACTAGCGAGTCACAGTTAAACAAATTTTACCTGTCTTAACTAGTAAGTCAATCAAGAATTTAAGCCCAGGTGTTTGGAGAGGCTAAACTGGTGTGAGTTGAAATTTTTTAAACTCTAGGACAAGTTTTAAGACAGCCTTAAAATAAAAGGACCGGCATTAAAAATGGAAATGTAGTAATTAAAAATGCTCTCTATTCAGCCTTTTTGTGGTCTTAGCTATGAAAAGCCTTTGCATATTCAAAATCTTCGCTAGAGAAAATACAATTTATGCAACAAGAAAATGTGTAGGTGCTTTTTTTTTTTTGTTTTGGAAAAGTTTATTTAAATCTTTCAACTGTGAGTACATTTTAAAGATAATTGTAACAGTTGATATTTTCTCAAAAAAACAGTGTTACTTCTGTTATTAAATATGAATCAAGTGTAGCACAGAAAAGGGTTTTGTATTGTTAAGAAATGTGTGTCACTGTCCTAACAATAAAGGTCAAAATGACTGCCAACATTGTTCAGTACTATAGAAATGTTACAAAATACATAGAAATACTCCCCTTTTTGAAACTTGATCTTTGTTCAGGAGCAGTTTCCCCCCCTTCATGTTATACTAGCTTCCTAGTTATGTGATGTTTTCTGAATATTTACATAAACACAAAATTCTTTTTTTTTTAAATATATTTTATTGATTTTATACAGAGAGGAAGAGAGAGGGATAGAGAGTTAGAAACATCGATGAGAGAGAATCATCGGTCAGCTGCCTCTTGCACACCCCCTACTGGGGATGCGCCCGCAACCAAGGTACATGCCCTTGACCCGAATCGAACCCGGGACCCTTCAGTCTGCAGGCCGACGCTCTATCCACTGAGCCAAACGGGTCCCGGCCATAAACACAAAATTCTTATTCACCTTTTATACACTTGTTTTCAGGAAATATTCCAGGTTATTTTTTTTTCCTTTGGTTTCCACTTTTGTCTATTGTTCTTTTGTAACTTTTTAAAAAATGTGTTTTTTAGACACAAGAGGAAGGAAGAGCAGTTAGAGAAATAGAAACATTGATGATAAACATCAATGGGCTGCCTCCACACGCCCCCTACTGGGGATCAAGCTGGAAACCCCACCCATGTACCCTCCCTCACCAGGAATGGGACCCATGACCTTGGTCATGGGTCCACAGCCACACCAGCCAAGCGTTCTTTTGTAACTTTTAAAACTTGCAGTATGTGGAAATCATGAAAGCTTCCCAAATAGTAAGAAAATACTTTGATTTCTGGTTTCTTCAGCTGCTTCTGCTTATTTTGTGAATACTAATTTTTTTTTTAGCAGAATTATGCTTCTGCTAATATTAAATATCAAGTATCCTATATAATAAAAGGCTAATAGGCAAATCGACCAAATGACCCATAGCTATGATGCGCACTGACCATCAGGAGCAGATGCTCAATGCAGAAGCTGCCCCCTGGTGGTCATTGCACTCCTACAGGGGGAGGGCTGTTCAGCCAGAATCTGGGCTTACAGCTGGTGAGCACAGAGGGGGTGGTGGAGCCTCTCCCGCCTCCTTGGAGTCAGGCATCCCCCCAAGGGGTCCCGGACTATGAGAGGGCATGGGCTGGGCAGAAGGACCCTCCCCCGCCACCCAGTGCACCGGGCCTCTAGTATATTATAAATATTAAACATAATATTAAATATATAAAGCATTTTTTTATATAAAGATGTTGGGTTTTTTTTTTTTTTTACTCTAAAATTAGTTACTAAGTTGCTATCTTAGCTCAGGGATGGCAAAAGAGTAATTTACATGTTATCATTTCCTGTGAACTTCCAGTGTTTATGGCAAATAGGGGTAACTGGCCCCTCCCTTTATTGCTGATCTTGAATAAGCCTAAGAATCATTTACTCAGCACTCATCATAGCCTGTGTCAATAGAATAGGCAAGAAACAAGAAACCTATTTCCCTCCTTGGTTTATAGTTTATGGTTTAATCAAAGTCCATATATTGTTTTCATGTCTCAGTTGGACTTGAGTCTTTCAGTAAGAGCTAAAATATTTTTATTATGTACATTTCTTAAGAGCCTTATTTTGACCCACAAGAGATATTGGAAATCACTGAGGATAATGTTACCATGCCTTTAGTGGCTCTTGATTGATAGGCACAATGGGCTTCTGTTTGCTTGTTTCTAAACATCCTTAAACTCTTCTAACACTCCACCTTTGTCAAGTTAATGTCTATACCTTACTTAGCTTTCAGTTTAAATGTCTCAGGAAAGCTTTCCCTGAAACCCTCAATCCCATTAAGTTACCTTCATTATAGTTGTTTTTAGTTGTGGTATTTTGTTAAATGCAAAATGAGAGATTGATAATTTTGTAGAATTCATGGAGACTTGAACTAGGAATATTACTAACAATTTAATATTCAGAGTTGGCTCTTTGGTATGGTATTTGGGTCCCAGAAGTCTTATGAAGTAGGTACTCAACATATTACTGGTGAGGGAACTGAGGCTTATAGAGTTAAAGATTTGAAAATAGGCACAAACAGCCTCATCTTCCCCCCTACCAAATCTATCCATCTGTATGTATCTGAACCTATATATATTGCCTTCATTCCATGTTTTGTTAAACATGGGAGAAATATTTTCTCTGTTGTACTATATTTCATTCAGCACCTTTATTCTTCTGTTGTTTTCTTCCTACAGATGTATTGGTTAATAATGCTGATTTTTTCCCCCCACTAGATGGAGTTACACATATGTTGATATATAAGTGATTTGATATGTATGCTATTTTGTTGTATTGACAACAAGCTTCAAAACTTCATATATCTAATTTTCTGAAGGTGTTAACATCATAGATATTTTTACACTTTAAAATGTTGAATTTCATGCCTCTGCCTCGGCCCTGCCACCATGACTTTGTCCGGAAGGTCTCCCAGTCTAATTTGCATATTACCCTTTTATTAGTATACATGAGAAATCTGTTTCTGAGCATAGTATCTGAATCAGAGTTGAGGATTTCTTGCCCTGTTTTGGACGGAATTCATATATCAGCCTAGTCTCAGACATCACCAGGACAGCCTCAATGACTTGCTGATGCCTTATGAGTAGTGAACTGAAATCCCCAAGTCTTTCTTCACACCTCCTCTTGATATGCTGAATTTCTCCTCAATCCAGTTCTGGTTTACTGAGACCTGGGTGTGATTTACATTCATGCTGGCTGCATTTCATTGTGTTAGACTTCCCATTGTTCCATCATGCCAAGACATTTGAAGTTCCTGATTCTGTTATTTCATTCATTCTTTTGATTATTATTATGATTCATCCAAGGATATTTTTCCATTGCTCATTTTAAATTATTTATTTATTTTTAACCCTCATCCAAGGATATTTCCTTCACTGATTTTTAGAGAGAGTGGAAGGGAGAGGGAGAGACAGAGAGAAACATTGATGTAAGAGAGACACATTGATTGGTTGCCCCCAGCATACCCCCGACCAGGTCTGGGAGCCTGCAACCAAGGTACATACCCTTGACCAGAATCAAACCCAGAACCCTATCTACTGAGCCAAACCAGCGAGGGCATTCAATCATTCTTTATACTTCCTTTTCTAAAGATTTTTTTTCTTTTTCTTTTTTATATTTTATTGATTTCTCAGAGAGGAAGAGAGAGGGATAGAGAGTTAGAAATGTCCATGAAAGAGAATCATCCACCAGCTGCCTCCTGCACACCCCCTACTGGGGATGTGCCCGCAACCAAGGTACATGCCCTTGACCAGAATCAAACCCGGGACCCCCCAGTCCACAGGCTCTATCCACTGAGCCAAACCAGTGCCGGCTCTAAAGATTTTTTTAAAAAGTTAATCCTACCTAATGAAAGAGAAACATGCACATTGACCGCACTTTCTCTATTCCCACAAGCCCCGCCCA